TTACAGACTATGTTCTTAAGATGCTTAACATGCCTTAGCAATGTCACATCACCTTGTAAGGAGCCATGACCGGGATACTATTTTTAATTAAGTGATAGAAAAACAGTATAGGCATTCAGAAGGTAGATCCTGTGCTACATACTTCAAATACATTATGTCATTTAGTCCACATGATAACACTGCAAGATCGTATTATCATTTCCATTTTACAGATTAGGAAACTGACTCTTGAGAAACAACTGACTTTCTATGATTCTGGAGCTAGTAAGTGGCAGAGCTAACTTGGAAATCCAAGCACATTGGCTAGAAAGACAGCAGCCCTATCCGACACAGATGTGTAGAAATTCACTATTTCGAGAAATATATCAACCAAATCATATGAGTCATCAGGACCAAGTAAGAAAATAGAGTTATTATTATCACTCTGTAATCAGACACAAATTAGAAATCGTGGCATAAGAAAAATTTAGACAGGATTTAAAACCTTCATGATATTTTTCAATCTATACATATCAAATTAGTCCAAGGAAAATTCTATCAGAAAAATTTCAAGGACACCATTAACACCATCTTTCAGGTTATTTCTACCATGCTAAGACATTTTGCTAATTACATGAGTTACTTTTAAAGGCTTAATAAATTAGGTCAGATTATCATTTACTTTTTTTGGGGAAACTATTCTTCCTTCAAAAGCACTGCTCTGAAGGGAACTGTCAATCCTAGTAATGCTCTGCTCTCACTTCAGCATCAGGTTTGTGAACTGCTAAGCTAACCACAGTACCACCAGGGCTGACTCAGAGATGGACACAATTCATTTGGAGTTCCTCCCTGGCACTTTTGCAGATGGATATGGAAACTGCTCTCTTCTCCTGGGTTATGAGAATAGAAGCCATGGCAGTGGCTGACAGCTAAGGAACAGCCTAGGTTGCAAGTTAAAGCTAAGCTCCAGAGGAGTGGTAGGTTGGGAAGAAAGGGTGAGAGAAAGAAGAGGAAAAAGAAGGAGAAAGAATAGAGACAGGACATTTAAAAAGACACATGGATCACGGAAGAGACAGGTACAGACACACGCGGCTGACTGACCCCACTCACCGCAGGCAGAATTCTGCATTCAGGCCTCCCACAGGCAAGTTCCACTCTTGTCCTTCCGAGGTGTGACTGTCTAAACAAATAAAACCTCTCTCTCTCTCTGTCCCTCTCTCTTTTTGCTTTGAGGTATTCAGAACAGGGATTTTACTATCTACAATGATCAACTCAAGTTATGCAAGAAAACATGTTTCATTACTTTACTAGGCTAAGTTCTTATTTCCATGTCTGCGCAATGTTAATGATGCCACAAGTCAAGTCAGCAAATACGGAGACACAAAGAGGGGAAAGGCGGTGTGGCCTGTGACAAGTGAGGGCTGTACCAGATATGAGGACACTCATCCCACTGAGAAAGACCCACACTGAGTGGTTCTTAATTAAAAATAAAAAAGACCAGCATGCAAATATCTAAAATTAATGGTATAAAATCGACATATTGTTAGGCAGTATAAGATTAGCCATTGAAGAAAACAGGCTGATAGTAAATAGTATAGGAGTACAGCGGTGAGAAATAGGTTGGAGAACAGCATCCCATTTTAAGTATTTGTAATTCCACTTGAGGTCCTACTCGCACTGACAGTAACTGTACAAGAAGTTTCACACTCTTAAATGACCCCACTGGCATTTCCTATCCATGTCCCGGGGCATTCAAAACATTTCTGTACTTTTCCATTTAACCATAGAAAATATAAAGTTTACACCAGGCCAGGTGTGGTGGCTCACGCCTGTAATCCCAGCACTTTGGGAGGCCAAGGTGGGCAGATCACAAGGTCAAGAGATGGAGACCACCCTGGCCAACATGGTGAAACCCCATCTCTACTAAAAATGCAAAAATTAGTTCGGCGTGGTGGCGCACGTCTGTAGTCTCAGTTACTCAGGAGGCTGAGGCAGGAGAATCCCTTGAACCTGGGAGGCAGAGGGTGTGGTGAGCCGAGATCGTGCCACTGCACTCCAGTGTGGTGACAGAGCAAGACTCCATCTCAAAAAAAAAAAAAAAAAGTTTACACCAAAGCAGGGCACAGGTGTGCATTTGGGCAGTCAGATGGGACGCCACCCTTAGAAGGGCTCTGTGCTTGCTTTAAGGCTTTGCTGTCTTGAAATTATTAATTTTTATACAAGAAATTCTGCATTTTCATTTTTCACTGTTTCCTAAAAATTACATAGCTGGTCCCTCACTAAGGAAAGGAACAGGGCTGTTGTGCAAACAACTCCAACCAATGGTTTTCCTTTTCAAGCAACCTGCTTATCATTTGCCAAGAGGGTAATAGATTTTGGAAGTCAAAAGGCAAAGCAGCGCTCTCACCTGCCACGTGTTCTTCCTTAGCCCTTTATTAAAAGCAAATGATTTAGAAAACTAAGTCTGCAGTCAAGAGCACTTGTAAACTGCCAGTTCACAACACTGCTCACATGAATGTCAGGTCACCAAGTGTGAACCCAAAGCCCATCACATAGTTCTAGGACATGACAAGCACAGGATAAAGAATTTAAAAAATGGATCTGGCTGATTTTATGAGATACTTAGAGAGTGAAGCAAAGCTCATTCTGGGCATGTCAGCTGCACACAATGCCACCAAACAGTGGGTTGTTGTTGAAAATGTCATCTAGAAACAGTTCTATCTCATGGAGCGTGTGTTAGATGGGACTCCGAGGATGCTGTCGTGGGGCATGTATTAGACGGGGCTGTGAGGATGCTTAGGGAGCAAAGCATCTGAATGAGTCCATCTCAACATTTTCTCTAAGTAAGCATCTCACCAGCTTATATTCTGGTCTATGCTAGCAGAAGAAAGCGAGGAGGGTGTCCAGCATCCTTGGCCTAGGACCTCCACGACAGGATCAAGCCATTTTCCAACTGCGATGCACTTGCTTACATGATGTGCATTGGACCAGCTACTCCAAAGCGACAACGTCATCAGTCCTGTCTTGTTGATGTCTAAAATCACACCGTCTACACTCCCATTGAGGACTCTCATCCTAGATATGATGAAAATCATCGTGCAAGGGGAAACACGACTCTTTTCATTTTGAACCTTAGTGTAAATAAGTTTCAAACCCTTTTCTAGGGGACCAGGTTTAGATTAGAGGTAAAAGGAGGAAGGTAGGGACTTAGGGAAGGGCATGAAGGGAAGTTCTGTGTGATGTGCTAAGGTTTAAAAAAAAGCTTCCACTTTACAATTTTCCGAACTGTGCAAGCCTTTTTTGGTAAATATCACTTAATATATGACTTAGTGTGAAGGAAAAGAAGAGTGATTCAAATACACTTACTTTTAGGCAATTATCTCTTCTACCCCACCTGCATAGAAATTTCACTAAAAGCTCTCATCTTTTATGTTAACACCTACTGATGCATTTGGAAGTAGAATAAGCTCATTATCTTTAAAGTGCAAGTTTAAAGTGTTTTCCTTCTGTTCAAGCCATTTTCTTTTTCCACCTACTATTCACTGAGGATAGTTTCTTCTATGACAGACCTATGGATCTAAATAATTAATTAATTATAGGAGTAAGTGCAAGTCTGGCATAGTTTACAGGCTCAATAAATGTTATCAATTAATTCATCTAATTTAAGGAGGTATCAAAATCAAATTACAACTGAAAGCAAGGTGAGCAACCATGATATCGTGTATAAGCAGACCAAAGTGAAGACAATAAGCAGAAAACAGCAGAATTTTGTGAACAAAATTTCTCAGGATGTAAGTTTTCTTTTCTTTTCTCTTTTCTTTTCCTTTCTCTTCTCTTTTCTTTTCTGACAAAGTCTTGCTCAGGATGTAAGTCTCCCCTCCCCTCCCCTTGCCTCCTCTTCTCTCCTCTCTTCTCCTCTCCTCTCCTCTTCTTCTCCCCTCTCCCCTCTCCTCTTCTGACAGAGTCTTGCTCTGTCACCCAGGCTGGAGTGCAGTGGCACAATCTCAGCTCACTGCAACCACCGCCTCCTGGGTTCAAGCGATTCTCCTGCCTCAGCCTCCTGAGTAGCTGGGACTACAGGTGCCTGCCAAAACGCCCAGCTAATTTTTGTACTTTTAGTAGAGACAGGGTGCTTTTGCCAAGTTTGCCAGGCTGGTATCGAACTTCTGACCTCAAGTGATCTGCCTGCCTTGGCCTCTCAAAGTGTTGGGATTACAGGCATGAGCCACCGCTCCTGGCCCACAGGATGTAAGTTTTCTAAAGATCTAAAGCAAAGTTACTGTTAGTGATGTTAGGAAGCATATGAATTGGTTTGGCATTATGGCTTGCTTTATAGTATAGCTTCTGTTTCCCTTTGTTTTCCCACTAGACGCAGCTACTTGGGGATGCCGCCCTGAGAGGGCTAGCATTCTTCATGACTTAATATGTAATACGCCTCTATGGAATTTCATAATCATGGAGACTTTATTCCATATACTGAAGAGGGGACAGTCTCCTTCCTGAAAAGATTTATTTTAGAAAGTGTCACACAATTCTACAAGAATCTTGAAAGGTCTTTTAAAAAATATTGACATCTGTGTTTCTTGGTGATATCTGGATGAAATTTGGATATGAGTGGTAAAATGACAATATCCCATGAATTGAGCAAACTATTCCTTTTACCCTTACAGCCTTTGCTATCTGTTCTTTGAAGTGAGTGCGTCTGCCATTGCAGCAGGGTTGTTCAAGCCTTCTTAGGTGGTCAATTTGACATGATTTCCTTCTGACCGAAGTTGTGTCACCTGACAGTGGTCCTGGCAAACCAGCACCCCAGCTTCTCTCTGTAGCGTCCCAGCTTCTGTGCTGACTCTTCTTACTAAAACTCCACATTTTGCCAAAGGTCAGCATCCTCTTCAACTTGCTACCCCAGGTTGAGGGCCATCTAATTTTTTATTCAGGCTATGAAAATTGGCAACCCCCGTGGTGCCACACCTAATAAAACACCAGTTTTAAAATGCCATTGTGCAAATGAAAATACCTACCTCTCTTGTAGAAGAAGTTTGTTCTCTTTCTTCCAGAAGTCTTTAAAGTCAGAGCTGAATTCATGCCAGATACTGAAGAAAGCATTTGGGGACACCTCCTTCTCTCCAAGTTTTGGTTTCATGAAGAAATATGCCGTAGTCTCCAAAAAGCTGTCAAAGCATACACACGCAAGAGCATAAAAACCATGATTACTTTCCAATATGGGATAGTCTTTCTCTATCCAAATGCTGATTTTATTCATGCACAATTATTATTACCAAGAGGACTCAAATTCTTCAAGCACCAACATTGGCTCTCTTATGGTTTAATGTTAAGAGTTTTGGATACAGATAGTAGCAGCTGACAAGAATCCTCCAGGTACTAATAACTACCCCTTGACCAATTCTATTTCAAAATTAATCACTCTGTGTTGGACATACTCCAGAAATGAACTTGTCATCAAGATGAGACATATTGAAAGTGGTGGGCCTATACTTTCTTTCTAAACTCTAAACAAATGAAATATCAACCATGTGTCCCCAAACTAATATGTAGTCCATATTTATATTATATTGCTTATATACTATTTGCCTTCCTACATGGTTAGAGGGAATAAAAGCAAGAGTCCCAGGAGATGCTGACAAAGTCTCCCGTCAGAGACCACGGTGCTATCATTGAGTAGAGACCAATATGGCAGCCAGTACTGTGACAGTAGATTGCTCAGGGCCAGTTTTCAGAAGGCGCCACTCAGAGGCTGCTTAATATTACAGCTATATGGAGCTCAGAAGAGTTTCAAAGTGGTTATTTGACAAAGAACATACCACTAGTAAATGGTAGGTTTCTGACTTAACAAAAGTCTTCTAGTCCCATGAGTGATGCCCTGAGAAGAATCCTGACCAATACAGTCAATAACGCTGAGGCAAGAGGACTGGTTAGAGAAAGGTCAGAGATGCTGCAAAGGGGTGGCACGCAAAGAAGCTTGTCTTTATTTTTTCTTTCTTTGGCCTGGGGCCAGCACTATTTCTGCTCCACCAAAACTCAAGTTTGATCTACTCTGAAGTAGAAATATCAAAGGCAACTTGATTTTGCTCAGTGGCAAAAAGTATGTATATATACATATATATGCATACATACCCTAACATATACACTTACACATATCTCTGTGTGTATTCAGCTTGCCATAGCTGATTTCAAATGTCTATTATGAAAAACAGTATGAGCATTAAAATACTGAGTGTTTTTTTTTTTTTTTTTTGAGACGGAGTCTTACACTGTCACTCGGGCTAGGGTGCAATGGTGCAGTCTCGGCTCACTGCAACCTCCACCTCCCGGGTTCAAGTGATTCTCCTGCCTCAGCCTCCCGAGTAGCTGGGATTACAGGTGCCCGCCACCACGCCTGGCTAATTTTTTAAAATACTGAGATTTTTAAGGTGAGTTTGCTCAGAAGGTAAAAGAGTTAGAGCATCACACATAAAAACAAACATTCACAGCTATGGCTAATCTGCTGTTTTTAAGCTTGCCTATGGCTGTCTCCGAGCAGCAAGATTCCCAGGATATCAGCTTTTGAAGTTCTAGGCAGAGATGACAAGACGGATTTGATCAAATGTGTGGATCTCAGGTATTATATTTTTCTCCTTAGTTAGCCTACTAGAAAAAAGACACAGTATGGTCAATTAAACCTGAGAAAGAGTCAGGCTGTGAAGTGGATATGCAACGTGAGAATCTGGCTGCCACGAGCTATGGTAGTGACATTAGAATGCATCTGGCGGAATGTGCTGACGGCGTCAGAACTGCCCGGAGAGTAGATGGCAGAGAACACAATAAGACATATCTGGGTCATATTTTATTACAATTGATAACAGAAACACATATATGCCTTCTGGGAAAACTGGTCATTTTCCTTATATATCTAAAAAGAATGTACGACCTGTTAGGCTGAAGTTAGGTCTCAAGTCTTTTCTATCCGTTTATTCATTCTCCTCATTGCTCTGGTCTTTGAACTTCATAAAACTTATTACAGAGCAAGTTCATCTGTTTGGGTAGCCATATGTAAGTTGCAAGAGCTAGTTCATCCAGTCAGCTATCTTGCAACATTTTGAAAGTTTTATCACTAGGTCGCATGGTATCAAAAGCAAAGAATGTAAGATTTAGAATGAGATGACAAGGAATATTGAATCCTGCCTCTATGACCAGCTATATGAGCAAACCGTTTAACATCATTGTGCCTCAGTTTTTCCACTGTAAAACAGAGATTATCACAAACAGTTGTTTTGAAGTCCAATGGGTAAAAATGAATTGCCAAAGTGTTTGTTGAATGCATCAACACAAAACAAATGTATTTTATATTACATGTTATATTACATATGCTATATATTTTATATTGCCTATTAAATAAATATAAATATATATTTCCTAAAAATATTCTCTAAATTATAACTAACTCAACTGGGGCTGATTTATGAACAGATTCTCAGGTGATGATGTTCTCTGAAGAATTTTTTTTTTTAGTTACCAGCAGGCATAAAAGCTTCCGATACTAGTGATAATCATTCTAATTATTCAACAATTTCTTCTTGGCTTTGTTATACAAAGCACATAGATTTAGGCAGGTAATTTAACTTCTGAGCCTCAGGTTTTTTTCATCTGTAAGTAGAAAAAATACCTGCTTTTCAAGGTTGTCATGAAGATTAAATAAAAGTACCTTGCAAATTATAAACTGAAGTAGTAATATATGTATTCACCTTAGAAGAGGCAAAAATTTTTCAATAAAAAATTGTTCTTTGTGTAAAACTTTATGAACATGTTAGCCAAATGAGTATCCAACAATTGATTTAAAGTCAAATGTGAACCTGATTACTAGCATGAGTCACAATAAAAAGAAACTTTTGTTAGTAGCTATTTCTTCGGATGTGGCCATAGTGAAAGAATAAGTGTACCTGAGTATGTGACGTAGAGTGTCCAGAAGAATTATCTGAGGATCACGAGTGCTGTCTCAACTGTACACTGCCACACTACTCCCTGAAATAAAGTATAAATACTTAAAAAAAACAAGCAGCCTGTACTCCCAGCACTTTGGGAGGCCGAGGCGAGTGGATCACGAGGTCAGGAGATCGAGACCATCCTGGCTAACACTGTGAAACCCCGTCTCTACTAAAAAAAAAAAAAAAAATTAGCCGGGCTTGGTGGCGGGCACCTGTAGTCCCAGCTACTCGGGAGGCTGCGGCAGGAGAATGGCGTGAACCCGGGAGGCGGAGCTTGCAGTGAGCCGAGATGGCGCCACTGCACTCCAGCCTGGGCGACAAAAAAAAAAAGAAAGAAAAAACAAACAAACAAACAAACAAATAAGCAAATAACAGGACAATAATTTCTACAGATTATCAAGGTATCTTTTATGCCAGAGGCATTTTTGGTTATATAATCCTGTCCAGCATTAGGTAGCCCTCAGCAAATTCAAACTTGCATAACACGAAAGAGACCCATTTGGGTGGTGTGTGGGAAGGGTAAACTCCATCTTTTCTGAATTATTTCCTTCTTTTAAATCTGAAACCAGGAGGATCCCAGCTACCATACAGCAATACGGGATTCACTACAAAAAGACAGACACCTTACCTAGGACCTTCCTTAGTACACAGGCTTTTCTGTGAGACTCCCTCAAAATGACCCTGGCACATGAAGAGGTAGTAGTTAAAAGATGTGCAGTTATAAAAAAAAATGCAGTGATTATAATAACAGATAACTCCGGATGTCACTGAAAAATCAACATCCCTCTGTTCTGGATTCTTAAATGGTCCTTTTTCAAAAAGATCAACACCACACGTCTTTTGCTACAAACATCAGACAGTACAAATATACTTCTCGGCAATGGAATCAAGGTACCTGCAGATCTCTAAAATGACAGCTACAGAAGCAGAATCATGTTGGAATTTCTCTGAATCCCACACAAAAATGGAAAGAGCAACTAATATTAAAAATCAGAGCTAACAGGAAGATATCTACAAAGACCTAGGTATCTAATGTCCCCAACAAAACTCAAAATTGGCCGGGCGTGATGGCTCAAGCCTGTAATCCCAGCACTTTGGGAGGCCGAGACGGGCAGATCACAGGTCAGGAGATCGAGACCATCCTGGCTAACACAGTGAAACCCCGTCTCTACTAAAAAATACAAAAAACTAGCCGGGCGAGGTGGCGGGCACCTGTAGTCCCAGCTACTGGGGAGGCTGAGGCAGGAGAATGGTGTGAACGCGGGAGGTGGAGCTTGCAGTGAGCAGAGATCGCACCACTGCACTCCAGCCTGGGCCACAGAGCGAGACTCCGTCTCAAAACAAAAACAAAAACAAAAACAAAAAAACTCAAAATTACAGCTAAGGACAAACTACTCACGACATAACACCCACATGGTAACATCTGTAGAGGAGGAAGCAGAGGGAAGCAACAGGAAATCTCTCCTAAAAGCAGGAAGAACCCTCAAATTACAAAAAGGTAATCCTGAAAAGAGTCAGGGCTAACTTGAGAACTGTGCTGAAACAGGAAGAAGTTTCACACAATTGAGTGCATGGAACAAAAGACAGGATGTATAGTAACTTCTGAAAGGACTGGAAGCAGTCTGGGCTATATGAACTCTTAGTATTGACCCAAGAGAAACTCTCTTTTAGGGCTAAGCTCTGCGTTGAGAGAAAATGCTGAGAGTGGAATTCAAATTGTGCAGAAAAAACTCAAGAACAAAGAAAATAGAAAATGCAGGTAAAATGCACTTTTTAATGTGCAAAAGCAACAAAAGAGGAAACTCTAGAGCACGAAAGTTAGAAATGTTTTCCTCGCGCAACTATTCCTCCTAACACTTCAGTAAAATTAATTTCAAATAAAAATGAGAAAGATGAAAATACTGCAGTGGAAAAAGCTACGTAAACACACTAACCATAGCAAAGTTGGCCTGGTTTTATTATCCAAGTAGACTTTCAAGACAAAGAACATAACCAGGGTGTTATTTCATAATTATAAAAGCATCCACATTATCAAGAAGATATAACAATCCTAAAGATATGCATCTAATGAAATAGTTTCAAAATTCATGAGACAAAAATTGCAGGACTAAAAGGAAAAAGAGACAAACTCATAATCAAATTGGATATCTTAACACCTCTTTCTCAGGAGTCAAGAGAACTAGATTAAA